ACGCCCATCAAATGAGCACAAACACCACATTGCAAAGATCAGAGATTCTCTCGGTACACATTCACGAAAATGAAATAGAAAAACTCCTGCGGCAAGTAGAAAAGTTTGCAGTTCATGAAGAGCGCCTCTAAATTAGGACAACATACTGTATTAGATCTGCTAAGAGACTCAACTCCAGGCAGGCTCGGTGGGCACTTTTTTCGGACGTTTTGACTTTTCTCTCTCGTACCGAGGTCCAAGAACATCAAACCTGATTCCTTATCTTGCATTTTTGATCCATCCGAACACGGTTACTCCAGAGCGTATTTTGCCCGAGAAGGTAGTTATCTCCACACTCACATGGGAGGTTGATTCGAAGGTCAAGACGGCCGTAGAAGGGGTAACGCCTCCGCCCAGTTGCCCACCGAGTCGATTGTTTGTTCCGGAGGGGTTACGATCCGAGGTTATTCGTTGGGTCATTGCTTGTCATCCGGGAGTAAACCGCACTAGTTGTTTAGTAAAGCAACGATTCTGGTGGCCTTTAATGGCTCGCGACATTAGGAATTTTGTTTTGGCTTGCTCAGATTGTGCTGTTGGTAAGACGTCTAACCGACCTCCTTGTGAGTTACTCCTACCGTTGTCTGTCCCTTCAAGACCCTGGTCCCAGATAGCGCTAAATTTTGTCACCGCCCTCTAATGGCATGATGGTTGTTTTAATCGTAGTGGACCAGTTCACATTTCATTCCCTTGCCTAAATTACCTTCAGCCAAGGAGACAGTGGTGACTGTAATTGATCACGTCTTTCAGTTACATGGCCACATGATGGATGTAGTTTATGACAGCCAGGGGTTCTTAATTTGTGTCCAGATTCAAGTTTTGTAGATTATTAGGAGCTACAGTTAGTCTGTCTGTGCAGACTGATCTCATGAAGTAGCGTGTGTATGACACGCCAATTCGTATTTTCATTTTTGGTGTGCTATCAAGACGCATAATCGCCTTTAAGCGTGTTTATGAACGCCGTTGACTTAACGTTATATAAATATATGACTTACCTCAACCCCGTAACCGTCACTGGGGTTAATGGCATTTATGACTGTTCCCTTACCATCCTAGGTAAAAAAAAGATATGACTTACCTCAAGCCCGTCCCTAAACTTAACCGTCACTGGGGTTAATGGCATTTATGACTGGAGATTTGACTGCGTGTTCAGACACGCGGAATGACGCGGACGTTAATGGCGTAGACATATACGGATACACGCGGATAGCACAAAATGCGTGGAGATGACACGCCACCTGACTCGAAAGTGGCGTATGTTTACGCAAAAGTCATGATGTCATGTTGGTCTGTGAATTATCATCCCCAGAGCAATGGTCAGATCGAGCGAGCCAACCAAGATTTGGAGAGAAAGTCGCGATGTTTGTTTTCCAAGGATCCTTCATCCTGGAGTCAGCAACTTTCTCTGGTTGAGTACGAACATAACTCAGTACCATTGTCATCCATGGGCCTCTCTTTTTCCCAGTCTGGAATCCGAGGTCGCGGTTCCTTCCGTTCTTGCCTTTGTCCAGAGGTGCCACCGCACTTGGACCAGAGCCTTTAAGACTCTCCTCCAACTGGGGGCACGCACTAAGGCTAAGGCTGATCACCACAGGTCAAAGCCTCCCGTAGACGTTGTAGGTCAAAAAGTGTGGCTTTCTATCAAGAACCTTCTACTCCGTTCTGTTTCTAACAAGTTAGCTCCCAAATCTACTGGCCCGTTTCCTGTCACCAAGATTATTAGTCCAGTGACAGTACGTCTCAAACTTCCTCCGGTGTACAGGAGAATTCATCTCACCGTGACTCGTAGATTGGGAATCTACATATTCGGTAAATCACATTCTGGACTGGAGACGGAGGGGACGCGGATTCCAGTACTTGGTGGACTGGGAGGGTTACGGTTCGGAAGAGAGAAGTTGGGTACCTGCTAGGGACATCCTGGATCACTCCTTTATTGATGATAAGGAGGCGTTCCTAGGAGGGAGGGTACTGTCACAGTTGGTAAATCCGCTGTCTCATTCTGGTCTTGTGTTTATTGTGTGTGTTCCTTTGTCCTAATTGCTTCAGGTGAGCGGCGCGCTGATTATCAATCACGTTATCAGCACCAGCTGCACTTCATCAGTCAGCCTATTTAATGTCTTGTCTTTCGTCTTGTGTTTGTCAGATCATTGTCGAAGCTTCTCGTGTCCGTGCCTGTTCCCTGTGTTCCTTGTGTTTCCTGTTTTCACTGGATTCTGGAGTTTGCTTCATTTACCGTCTCATTCATTGGTTCATCTAACACAGTCTCATCCCAAAAAGTCATATAACTGACGTCTTGGGGCGTATTTTGACCATACGGCAATATCCGCCTTTTTAGGGCCCCCTTAAACGTCGGTAGATGGCGATCCCGGGCCGTCATACAACTGACGCTTTACCTTTAACGTCAGTTAGGTGACGGGTTAGGTTTAGGTATGGGGTAGAGTTAGGATCCCATAACCTCATCTACCGACGTTTAAGGGGGCCCTAAAAAGGCGAATATTGACGTATGGTCAAAAGACGTCCCAAAACGTCAGTTATATGACGTCTTGGGATGAGACCGGGTTGTCCTGTACAGGACCCTTTTTAATGAACGTTTCGTTTAGGTCTACTAGGCATAGACACATCTGAACATCTTTAGCAAGTGCAAACCAGTACAGAAGTAATCAATAAATTATCTGGGAGGGTCATGGCTTTTTTCCACAATCATTTCAGAGGGTCATAGAAAAATGTAGCCTATTGCTGCTGAAGGGAGGGTCAAGTCTAAGTTGACTATAGATCTCAAAACTCCTCCGGTAGCCCCTTAAATCAAAAATAAAAAAACGAACAGTCCCTTAAAACTCTCTCTCTTTTTTTTTCTATGAAAATATTTGTATTTGTTATGTTTCCCACTGACCCATAGCCACGTTCAAATATCACAGCCAACATTCAGGGATACTTTACTTCTTCTGAATTTATTATTAAGGAACACAGCTAATAATTACAAGTGGCAGTGCAGGCACAATGGGGGGATGGCAGTATTACATACATAACATTTCCTCCCCTCTTAAACAAGAAAGAAAGAAAACAATGCATTTTCATTTATACCAAAACTATGCATTTATTTATTTTTTTCTAGAGGTAGAGGGTAGCCTTTTTCGGGATTATTTCGGGATGATGTGCTGATATAGCTGGAAGCGCAAAACTTTCTGTTTACAAGCAGAGGAAGATGCGCGCTGTACATACGCTTTTCAATTTGCGTATTTTCCGCACTATAAGGTGCACTTAAAAGCCTTTAATCTTCTCAAAAAACGACAGTGTTCCTTATAATCCGGAGCGCCTTATATATGGATCATCATCTTATACGGTAGGGGGCGGTAAAACTCCTAAGCGGTGAGCAGCCGGTAACAAGAAGTAGGAGAACGTCCTCGTCTCAGTTCTCACGCATGCGCCCATAAGGAAGTAATGGAATAGTCGAATAAAGTCGTTATTTATGTTTTTTTCGCACAAAAAGTAGTCTCGTCGCTTGATAAACTTATAATTGAGCCGCTGTAGGCACATGGGATATTTAAACCTTTTCTTTAATGACTTTATGGGCCGTCAAGAGCCAGTCCCTTAGGCAGTCTATGGAGGAGTGATCCAGCTCTCAGATTCAATCAAAAAAATATCTTTATTTGTGTTCCGAAGATGAACGAAGGTCTTACGGGGTTGGAACAGCATGGGGGTGAGTAATTAATGACTTAATTTTCATTTTTGGAAGATGTTCTGCAGAGGAGGCAGGTGTGTTGTTCAAGACACCAAAAGTGCTGTTGAGGTCATTGACTGAAAACGGCGATCAGCCTATCCATTGTGGTATTACAAATTTTATTTAACATAATGTTTTATATGGAGAAAGTCTCTAAATCTCAGCAAACGGTAGGCGTTTTCCCAGTGCGATACTCCTTGACTTTCCTGTTTCTCGTCTCACCGTGTGAAAACTACAAGTTTGAACACCTGTTCATTTCTGAGACCATTTGCCTTGGAGTTCTAGGGTCACATGCATTTCCGTTTGCACAGACACCCTGTGGTACTGGCAATTAAAATTAATGTGATTGTGGTATTTAATTTCTTCAACATTTATGCTGTGTTTTGGGGGATATTTTGTTTCTGGATATTGATCCAGGTGTTAAAGTTCTGCCATTTGCTGGTTAGATGAAAAAACCGTATGTTGGAATCACAATTTAGGAAACAAAGTGTTTTGACCATATATATCCACCAGAGGGCCACAGAGATCCGTTCATTTTCTGAATGTGGCCAACTGCTCCTATCGCAACTTTTAAAAAATATATATATATTGGGAATATATATATTTAAACATTATAAAATGTTTAAATATACATATTATTTATACATATAAGGGTTGTGCTTTAATTAAATGCAAAATAAATACGACCCATATAATTTCAATGGTAGGCCAACATATTCAATGAAGTAACACACTTAAAAGGATACAGTGGTTTACTCAAATCAAAATACTTTTATCATCCTCATGTCAGTACATCCACCAATATACATTAATTATATGGACTCTTCTATTCTGATGGTGATTAGAAAACTGTCTAGGAAAGTTTACTCACGTCTCTAAGGTTACTTGCTTCTTAAATACTCGATTCAAACTGGTCAATTGCAGAATTTAGCATCAGATATTTAATATATTTTCACAAGAGACACTTAAAAATATACTAGAAATGGCCATTGACTTACATTACATTGCATTACAACCTGAATATGCATAGTGTACAGTGGATAGATATGCCCTAAACACATAACAAAAAGATCATTATACATAATTCAAAATTTATAATAATACTAATAAACAATGTGTTATTAAGAACTATTTACTTTGTGATTTAATAATTCATGCATCGGGAAGATAAAGTTGCTGAATGGAATTTGAATGATCAATTTAACAATTTCAGAAGTAAAATATGTCACACTCTGTACAGCTCCTCGAAACACAACTACTAATGTTTTATTTGATTTTATATTTGAAAAAAAAACTTTGAATATATTGTAAAGTTCTAAAACAAAAGAACATGAACCATTTTTGTACTTATAAGATACGCATAAAATACACCAAAATTAAACAAAATCCAGTACTTTAATCGAAAGCAATTTTCTGGATTGTTATAGGAACTTTATGGTGTCGGGCGGTGTTTTATGCAGTGAAGCCGGAGCGGGATACTTTCTTCTCTCCAGTAAGTGTGAGTGGTGTGGATCTGTCGACTGATCGTTGAATGCTTTGAGTGAGGAGAAGAAATTGTTGTTGAACAATCCCTTCTGAGAGTGATCCAGTTTGTCAAATAAAAAAAGGGAAAAGGGTGGTTTACATACAAGACAGCAATAAACAGTTGTCAATAGCGATTAATTAAAATGTTCAACAGTTGCGATAACAAATGAGAGGCTGTACAATACAGGAACGTGCAGAGAGTTCCTCAGGGGCAGGCGCTCAAATGTTTGGACACTAAACTTTTAAGCATTTATTTGATGTAAAATACAGAAAAAAACAGTAATATTGTGAAATATTACTACAAATTTGAAATAATTGTTTTCTATTATAAGGGGCAGTCCTCTCCCCTCCCCTCCTCTCTGCACGTGCCTGCTTCTGTTAAAAGATGGCCCAAATATTTTATTGGTACCAAATATAATGTAGTTGTAATATTTGCTCATAAAATGTCTGTGTAAGTGACGTACCATCTACTGACAAAAGAAGTAGAGCTTCTCCTCACAGTCTCTGTTTGTCCAGACCCTTGTTAGCTTGTCCAGGGCTCCACAACGAAGGTGTCTTTCAGGACACTGGGGCAGTCCCGTCTGAGGCCAGAACGTAAAGTCAAGATCATCTCCATCGACCCATCTCCACTCTCCTGCTAGAAAGCGCAGACCAGTCCACACATATCCAGTTTCAGCCAGTGCGATTTCTTCTGAAGCAGAAGTAATATTTTTCAGACTCGCCAGATCATTATGATGTTTTCTGCAGTATTCCAGAGCGCCTTCCCAGCTCTCATTCTTCAACACCAGAACAAACGTTTTCATGCAGAAGAATTTAAGTTCAACATTGCATTTTTCGTCATGCAGCTGCTTAGAACTGTTGTGTATAAAAGCACAGTTTTCATTAGAACTAAACTGATTAGAACTATCCCATTTTATTACTGTTGGATTGTCATTTCCATTCCACTTCCACCCTCCTGATTTTTCGTGGAGACCAACCCAGGCATTAGAAGTTTGACCAACTGCATCTTCCAAAAACTGCTGCTTCTCGCTCTCAGTGGTGAAGGTGGACAGGTCATAAAAGAAATCTTTGCAGTGCTGTAGTGCAGAATCCCATTTCTTTTCCTCGTTGACAAAGTAATGTTGTTTAAAGAGACCGGAGGAGAGTCCGTAGAGCTCCAGGATTAGGAGCACAGCGAGTGTCGTCTTCATCTTCATCCAGTGACGAGGTTTGGTGATTTTTCAATGATTAGTTGAGGTAGAGGCCAGAATTGTGCATGATGACACTGACTCTCTTTTACTTAAACTGACATACAGCCAATGACAAAAGAGTGTGAGGGTGTGACCAATCACAGCACACCTTTACAGTCAGAACAAACAAATCAGTTGCTTAATTGGAACAACTAATATTGTACTTTATACTTTAATAATCCAGAAATAGTGGTGAGGTCCAACTAAAGATATACTTAAGTATATTTGATTGTGCTAAAGTGGAACTGTTGCAAGTATACTTTAAATATCTTGCATTTAAAGACTGCTCTTATGAAAAAAAGTGCACTTAAATGTATTGAAAGTGTGCTTTTGTGTCTACTTTTTTTAAAATGCACATGCAGATAATATGTAATTGTAATGTAATAGTAGTGTACTGTACTTTACATCTGTGTAGAGAATACTTTCAATTTTATTATGTCGTAAGTTGATTGAGCACATTTAATTGCATTAATTGTAATTTTTTTTAAGTAAAATTTTAACAAATATAGACTAAATTAATTTGCACTCAAATTCAGTTACTACTGACTACACTACACTGTAACTTATTGTGCACTTTCAAAAACTTTGTGGGACGTTTGCATTCACGGCTATATTACACACCATAATAAGTGATAAAGAAATGTACATTGGGCAATAAAGAAGTACTCCAAATAAAGTTTAATTATTATATTCATATAAGTCTTAAGCGATATGCAAGTAATATGTTAATGGATTTGTTGTAGTATGCTTAGTATAAAATAAATGTATTTTCAATTAGAAAGAACCTGTGGGCAGATAAAACTGACATGAAAGTTTTTTCATGTGCTTCCTAGTTTGGTTAAAGTAGTGTTCCCAGATTAGGCTCTCATTTGATCAACAAATATATATATATATATATATATATATATATGAAGAGTTCAGATGCAAAAGCCTCTAAGTGCCATTTGAAATTTTCTTCTAGAATGATCATTTTTATCAATCTTATACAAGTTCAGTAATTTCACTTAAATGACAATTAATAGGTAATCTTCATTGCAATTTAAGTGAAATTACTAAACTTAAACATACAAGCTTGATAAAAATGATCATTCTAGAAGAAAATTTCAAATGGCACTTAGAGGCTTTTGCATCTGAACTCTTCATATATATATATATATATATATATATATTTGTATCTGTTATCGTCTGGCTTTCTCTCATGTACGCTGTTTTACAGGATTGTATTTCCATAGACAAAGGTATATGAAAAGATATGGAAATACAAAATATGCTACTCAAATCCAGTAAAATCAATCGTGAATGCCATCCAAACAAGCTGTCAAACATTTTCCTTTGGAATCAGTGGTGATTGATGGTAAGACAATCTGCAGACACTGAAGGACTATCCATGAACAATGCCCATCAAATGAGCACAAACACCACATTACAAAGATCAGAGATTCCCCACCGAGCCATTAGAGAGTCGTAAAAATAAATCCATGGTGCCCTAATTTGCTGAATTGACCATCTCTCCCATGCTTACCTTATCTAAAACACCAGGGTTTGTGATGAAATTTCTAATCAATAAAGTAGACCTTCCTTGTTCCACAAAATTAAAAGCCCTGCATGACCAAATGGCCAAGAGACACCTTTGTAACTAAATGCATAAATCCATAGACTTGTGAAGACAGACCCAATGCCCAAATCAACACAGTCTGAAAGAGAGACATTTATTTTCTCCCCATCAGGGCACCTCCTCTTCCCAGCAGCACGTTCTAGAGACATTATTAAACCAGCAGAGACTTCAAAAATTTCTACCATTAAGCTGAATTAATCACCTGTAGTTGCCTTATATATCTTATGAATCATGTATGTTTTATACCTGTTACTAATTGTGGTGTAACAGTGGTCGAGTATATAACTGTCTCTGGTAGGACATGTAACATGCTGTCTGTATTTTGGCAGTTCACGGGAGATATTTGCTTTGTTAAAATCCCCAAGAGTGATTTATAAAGACTCTGGATTAGAGGTCTTCACGGGTCCATTTGGATCCGAAATCCCGAGGTCCGACCCGAGACCCGAGCGGGTTCGGGTCCAAAACTCCGACGAGTGTCTCGGACACGGGTCGGGTTCGGTATTATTGGTCTCAGGTAATTTAAAATAAATATGCCTTTCCAAATGGACCCGAGAATACCCAAATCATTTTAAACTATGTTGGGCATTTAACAAAAATTGCAGTATTTAAAATATCTTTTTTTAAGTGAGAGAGCAAATCCGCGCTTTTACGTGCAATGGGATATAAGCATAAGCACGGTTACTCAGTTGCTCGCTCCACATAACCAACCCCTCTGTTTGCCAAGAAGAACTAGTGCGCCATCATGTGGATGGATGTTTGACTACATGCAAGTATTTGAATTGTCGTTAAGCCAGGCATGTCAATCAATTTTAAAAATACGCAACGCTAGCCATGTTTCCATCCACTTGCCCAGACAGCAAACTGACCTTGAATCAACGTGGAAACGACGTCTCTCATGACATTAAAACAACGTTGATTTTGCGCATCGAATTAACGCTGAACCAACGTCAGACGCGGCATTCTTCAAAGCTAAATGAAAATCGAAAATTGGTTTGCTTTCATAACGTTGAAACAACGCGTTGATTTCAAGTTGATTTTCCGTTAGTTTTGAAAGAATGACGCGTCTGACGTTGGTTCAACGTTAATTCGATGAGCAAAACAATGTCAGATCAACGTTGTTTCGATGTCATATTTCCACGTTGATTCAATGTCAGTTTGCTATCTGGGTGTCAATCGAATTATCTGAAATTCGGTTACTCATGCGGATAAAGCTGGTGAAAGTGTGTTTCCATCCAACGGCTTTAAAGCGAATAAAAACCTGTACGTAGTGACGTCACATGCTGTTTTGCGATCAAATTGGTACATCGAATTGATTTGAGACATTTTAAGGTGTTTCCATTTATTTTCACACTGAATCGAACAACATTCAAGCAAACTTTTGCGAACAAAGTTTTGTTAGACAAAACGGATCGCGCCAGCTACCAAAAATGATCAATATTTCACAAGTTGAAGTCTAATAATGCTTATGTGCCAGCTGATAGAGACATATGAATGGGATAATGTATGCGAGGCGGTTGTTGGTTGTATTCGCTATAACAACCGCCTCGCTATATATTATCCTGCTTATTAGCCTACATATAAATCAACCAAATAAATAAATAATTTGACACAAAATATTGACTTAAAAACGAGTTTATTGATTTAAAAACGAGTATTGCTCCTGCTAAAGAAAATGTTCCGTCTCTGAACTGCGTCCATGGAAACGGTGTGTTATACTAGAAGCGCCGCAGTCTGTTAACTAGAAATAACAGACCACATCCCAGATAGCAAACTGACATTGAATCAACGTGGAAATATGACATCGAAACAACGTTGATCTGACATTGTTTTGCTCATCGAATTAACGTTGAACCAACGTCAGACGCGTCATTCTTTCAAAACTAACGGAAAATCAACTTGAAATCAACGCGTTGTTTCAACGTTATGAAAGCAAACCAATTTTCGATTTTCATTTAGCTTTGAAGAATGCCACGTTGATTCAACGTTAATTCGATGAGCAAAATCAACGTTGTTTCAATGTCATGAGAGACGTCGTTTCCACGTTGATTCAATGTCAGTTTGCTGTCTGGGATTCTACATTAGAATTCAACCAAGCCACGTAAAAACAAGCAAAACTAACCTAAGAAAACAGCGACGCTATAAACATTGCTATGATGATGACGATGCACGTATGCCCGACGACAGCGGAGGTGACTATAGTGTGGGA